TTCTGCAAGTATATATATATATATGTATATATATATATATATATATATATATGTATATATATATGCATTTTGCTGTAGTAGATGCTAACCGGAGTGTCTTGGAACCACCTATTGCGAGAGAAGAAGGTACTCAAGTTATGGAAGATTATCAGGATCAATGTGTGTTGTAGGCAGTCAGATCAGCAGTTTACCTCCATTGAAGATCCACCTATTGTTCACACGGGATTACCTTTGGTAGATGATTGACATGTTTATAAATCTAGGAAGAAGAAGAAAGGAATGCCAGATCTCAATAACTCAGAGGATGACTGTATTATCATTGTTTCGGGTGGAAGCCCACATCTCAGTATGTTACTGGACTCCCTCCCTAGATCTAGGGAAAAGTGAAGCGGTATACCCATCGACTAAACTCACCATGATTAGGAGTTGTTTCTTTTTGATTTATTTTTTAGGGAATGCATTTGTAATCCCTATGAGTGGGCTCTTTGTACCCACTCATTAAAACTTTTGTATCATCTCTTTTTTATCAATGAATTTTGCCTTTTCAAAAAAAAAAAACACACACACTATATATATATATATTTGAAATCCCAAAACGGCTAATATATTAAATAGAAAGAAAGATACAGATACAATGTGTGGGAGGGCACAGTCATGGCACACTGCCCACACAAAAATCTACAAAAGGTTTCAAAATTAGAAAAGAAAGAAAATATATTAGACACTTGAATAATTAACCTAACAGTGTCGAAATACATAGATCAGGCGGTTAGAGAGCGACCCAATTTGGTCTTGCCTCTGCCTCTCGTTCTAGGGAAGGAGCAAACTAATAAATTGGTAGGATGATTGCCATTACCAGTAGTAACCAATGTATCATCCAATATGTTCCCGAGCTGGAGTCGCTACATTCTTCTTCTACCTCCTCGAATAGACCTGTCATTCCTCATCCGAAGAATCAGTCTGATGGGGTGGTAGAGCTGAAGCAGAAGGAATACCAATCGTAGTACCCACAATAGTATATGTGAAGTATTAGTTGCCTCCCTCTACACCAAATATTTCCTGAAGAAGTGGAGCTACGAGGTTCTCCTGATTGCCTCTACACCAAATATTTTCTGAAGAAGTGGAGCTACGAGGTTCTCCTGATTATCAGTCTGAACACTATCATTTGTAGGTAATAGTCCATCAGTATTGTTTTCTATGTGGGTTTGAAGGTGCCAACATCACATCACTCGCAATAACAGTAACAACAGAGGCAATAGAATTAGACCCCAAAATCTGTCCTGTGATAGCTTTCTCTCCAGGTGGTACAGATATATCCTTAGATACATCCTTATTCACTTGATTTTTATATTTCAAGTTAGAGTGAAGCTTATGACATTTATCAAGTGTATGCCCAAACATTTTATAATCAGAACAATAAGAAAGTTTATGTTCCATGACGATTTGTTGCCAACATCCATTATGTGTTGTGCCCAACCAATCTTCAGTAACATCACGCAAAGTAATATCTCTTTCCACAAGTATTTTGGTTATAAAAGTTCTGGTAAGGTTGATAGTGGGTAGATCTAGTTTCATAGTCCCCAAGTATGACATTAATAAATTAAAAAATTTGATGATGAAAAAAGTACAGCTTGAGACCAGGTAGACTAAACCATACCGGTACAGTAAGAGATTCATGATTGTGGTCAAATCCAGGAGACCACTTGAGTAGCTTCATTGGTTTAACAACAATGTTAAGATATTTTTTGGAGAAAATATGAGAGTAGTCTTCAGATACAGTTAACTGAATCAACACATGTCTCCCATCTATAAACCCCACTTTTCACTTTACTGCTAATTTGAGGTCATCAAAACTTTTTCTGATAACTTTCATAGTTGGTTGTCACTACTGAAATTTCTCAATGAGAGCAAATTTGAATTTGTCAGTCAGGGTTGAAATTTTTTACTCAGAAAAAAATGTTGTTTTCTCACTCTTTTTACTTGCTTCTTAATAAAGAGGCAGTCACCTGTATCATCACGATTCTTCTTATAACTTGAGGGGAAGACAACCACTGTCTCCACTGCTCCCCTTAAGGATTACCTACAACGTGGGTAAAAGAGGTTTTGTCGGGTTTGACTGAAGGAGGAAGCTCCATCACAACATGTCATAGCAAGGAAAAAAGCTGCAAGTCTGACAGAAGAGGTCGGGGAAAGGCTGCGCAGAAGAGAGGAATCGCAGACAGTAATCGCAGATGACGACTGCGCAGAACAAATTTGCAGCTCGACAAAGTCTAAACCGCAATGCGACCACACGTATAAAGGAACCACGAAGCGAAGACGCCACAGAAGCGAAGGTGTCTCAAAGGTGAAGGTCCAAATGTTTTTCACCGTCGTCGAGTGCAAAGGCAGAGACGACGAACACAAAGGCGCAAAAAGGTCCAAAAGACGATGAAAGCAAAGGCAAGGTTTGTCGTCGTCGAGTGTGAAAACAACGTCTTTGAAGAGGACTGATTGAATGCCAAAGGAATCAAACCAGGGTTTCGTCATCGGGGGAAACCCTAGCAGAGCAGATCGCCACTGACACCATATATATGTAAAGAGAAAATGGTACAGATAGGTTGTATGAGTGGGCCTAAATAGACACTCAACCCACACGGTACAACACACAAAAAAAAGAATAATAAAAATCCAAAAGTAGATGATACATGTAAGTCCAATCAGGTCAACCCAATTTAGTTCTGCCTTTGCCTCTAGTTCTCTGAAGGGAACTAACTAACAAATTGGTGAGGTGTGTACAATTGCTCGGAGTAACCAAAGTATCATCCAATAGTTTTCTTAACTCAAGTAGATCTCCATTATTCTTCTTCCTCCTGGAAGTGTAGACATACCATTCCTCATCCGAAGATTGTTGGTCATGCTGATGAGGTGGTAGTGCTGCAGTAGAAAGATTGCCAACAATTGTGCCCAAAAGAGATTGAGGTGCATGTGAGGTAAGAATTGTCGCTTCTAACCCCAGATACTTCCTGAAGATGTGGAGCTGCAATGTTCTCCTGATTTTCAGTTTGTGTAGGTAGGGGTCCTTCAGTAGGAGGGTCCACAAGGGCAATTAAATCAGACACTAAAATCTGTTCTGTGGTAGTTTTCTCTCCATATGGAACAAATATGTCCAGAGCAGTGGGTTTAGATCAATTCTTATTCACTTGATTTTTAGATTTCAAATTAGGGTGAAGCTTATGACATTTATCAAGGTTATGCCCAAACATCTTACAATGAGAGCAATAAGGAGGTTTATGCTCCATAACGATTTGTTGTCAATATCCATGATGAGTTGTGTTCAATTAGACTTCAGTAACATCAAGTAAAGTAATATCTCTTTCAACAAATATTCTGGTCACAGAAGGTCTGGTTAGGTTGAAAGTGGATAGATCTAGCTTCATAGGGTCCCCAAGTATGACACCAATAGAGTAAATAACCTGATGATGAAAAAATTGCAGCTTGACACCATACCAGTACGATAGGAGGCTCATGATTGGGGTCAAAATCAAGAAACCACTTGAGTAGCTTTATTGGTTTACTAGCAATGTTAAGATATTTCTTAGAGAAAATCCGAGTGTTGTCTTCAGACACGGTTAATTGACTCAATACGTGTCTCTCATCCATGAGCCCCACTTTCCACTTTCCTGCTAATTTAAGATCATAAAAAATTTTCCTGATAACATCCATAGGTGGGTGTCCCAATTGAAATTTTCCAATAAGAGCAAACTTGAATTTGTTAGTCAGGGATGAAATTTTTAACTCAGAGAAAAAAAGTGTTGTTTTTCCACTTTTCCTGCTTGCATTCTTAATAAAGGAGCAGTCACCTGTGGAGCAGTCACCTCTTAATAAAGGAGCAGTCACCTGTACCACCACGATGCTCCTTATAAGTTTAGGAGAAGACAACCACCGTCTCCCCCTGAGGATTACCCACCACGTAGGCAAAGGAGGCTTTGTCAGGTTCAACCGAAGAAAAAAGAAGCTCTATCAGAGCAAGGAGAAGCCCTGCCAAGTCGGGCAGAGGGCAAAAACGACGAGCCAAAGAGGTCGGGGCAAAACCGCAGTTGTCGAAGCCGTGGAACAGTCGCAGCTCGATGATGTCCACGCAGATGGCAGACAATGACGAGCAGCGGAACAGTTGCAGCTCGACAAGATCCACACAGAAGCTGGATGGCACGAAGGAGAGACGACGAAACAACAGAAGCTGGAAGTCCCTTCGTCGTTGGGCAGAAAGAAACGATGGCGCATAGGAGTCAACGATCGCTGAAGAGATTGACGACTGCAAAATTCGTCATCGAGTACGAGAACTTCATCGTCGAGCACGACGGGAAAGCCGAAGGATCGAGCCAGGGTTTCTCCATTGGGCGAAACCCTAGTGGAGCAG